AGCTGCTCAACAAAAAGAGGATGGAACTGTATTTGATCGGGATTCATCATTTCAGAGGAATTATATGAATTGGTACAAAAGATTTAAGGAAGACAAGGGAGGAGCAGGATGAGATCAGTAATAATAGATTACTTTTAAATCATATAAACAACTCAACTTAGCAAACTTGATCCTTTAAGCAAGCTCCTAAATTCTTTACTCTTCTGCAAAGTTCACATCAAAAAACCCAGTATGCCAGGGTCCAACGCCACGAGAAATTCTTCATGGATACTAAGTCATTTAAATTTCTTCAGACACATCAGTACACATTCAACATACTATTGAGGTAAATTTATTGAGAAATCACTTCTATTTCCACAATCAACATACAGATCAGACTGATACCAAAAGGACTGCAACAAACAACAAGATAGACCCATGTATATCATCCTCTAAGTTTACCTCAAAAAAGAAAAAAAGGGAAACACTAACGTGCTCAACAACAGTTTACAGAGGAAATTGTTCGCTCAGGTTAAGCCCGGCCATGGCGTTCTCTAACCCAGAACTCATCTCCACTAATACATGAGGATCATTGTAATGCCTGACAGCCTGCACGATGCCTTGAACACGCTTGTACGGATCAGGGCAATTAAACACCTCTGCACCCACAAACACCCCATCACATCCCAGCTGCATCATCAACGCCCCATCCGCCGGCGTCACAATCCCTCCCGAAGCGAACTGAACCACAGGCAGCCTGCCCATTTGCTTGGCTTGAGCTACTAAATCATAAGGCGCTGCTATTTTCTTCGAGAACGCAAACACTTCATCTTCATCCATGTTATTCAAAATCCTTATATCCCCCATGAGCGACCTCACATTCTTCACAGTTTCTGCAATGTTACCAGTCCCCAACAGGTCCCCTTGTATCCTAATCATGGCAGCTCCTTCTCTCACTCTCCTCAAAGCATCACCAAGATTTCGACAGCCAGAAATAAAAGGGCACCTGAAATTATGCTTGTTGATGAAGTTATCCTCGTCAGCGATAGCAAGCACTTCACTCTCATCGATGTGATCGATTCCGATGCTCTCCAATATTTGAGCCTCAACAAAATGGCCAACACGGGCTCGAGAAATGACGGGGATGGAAAGAGCGCGCTTTATTTCTTTGATGAAAGACGGATCCGACATGCGGGAAATGCCCCGACGAGGTGGATCTGATATAAGCACGGAACAAGCTCCGGCAGATTCCGCGATCTTAGCTTGATCGAGGGTGGTGATTTCGAGAATGGCGCCGCCACGGAGCATCTGAGCCATGGCAACCTTGATAGAGAATAGATTCTTCTTGGGATCGGTAATAGCGGTGCCGCTGTAGACGGTGACTGCTCCGTCTTCTTCCGCCATTGGTAGATAGATTCTTGAGGGTTTTGTTTCAGTTAAGCGAAAAGAGTTGGAAAGAGGGGCAGATTTTGTTGTTCAACAGATGAGATGTTAATTAGTAATGGCGAGATGCAAAAGATGTATAATGTACAGAAGAGAGGAAGAGAAGGGGAGAGAGAGTAGCGTGATACTCGAGAGCTTCCATGAAGTTGGAGAAATGCGTG